AAAGCACCAACATAGTCTGCAGCGCTGTAGAATAGTTGGACATACAAAATACAGGGGAGTGCAAAAATCGCAATGCCAAAACATTTGCTTAAATAATATTAATAAAACGAGCAGCATACCACAAATCAGACCCACAACAAAACATACTAAATAAATACAACACACACACAAAAAAAAATGAAACCACACAATAAATAATTTAATATAGCTAAGGCTCATCCCACTGCCAAGCAACACAGAATAATCCAAGGGGAGCTATTTTTAACATTATTTTAGCAATACATTTCAACAATAATCATTATTGTGCTGTCTATTGATTATTGTGCTCATGATTGACTTTTGTTCTTAATATTGATTATTGTGCTCTACAATTAGTTTTTGTTTTTTATGCAGTTCTGGTTCTTTGGGGGGGGGGGGTTGCTGTATAGTTTATACATTATCAAATAATTGTTTTAGTATAAATTATGTCTCTGTTTATTGATACAAAGTGAATAATTGTTTTTGATTCTTTATGCAACTTTTGTATAAAAGTAATAGAATACATTTTCAAATGTATCGTACTTATTAGTATTAGTACTTTATCCTGTAATAAAACATAGTTTTCTGTTTCAACCTCTGCATCCCTGAATCCCTTTTCCATAATGTTCCTTATGAAACCTTCAAGTTGTTCTTTATAAATCTTTGTTTCCAAACAATTACATCTACGTCTACAAAACTCAATTAGGCATCCGTTCTAGCCAGTTTGGATTGTGGCTACTACTTTTATTGATGTATCCAATTCTGTCTGAAAGTTTGGAATACGTTTTAGTCAAAAGGGATTAACCCCTATTTAAGAGGCTTTGCGCTGGCTCCAACTCCCTCATTTCGGTTTCTTTTTTCTTTTCTACAAGTTGTAAGTTTGTCTTTATCCTAGTTAAAAATCTATCTGAAAGATGGACTAGTTTAGAGATATTTTTCTCCACTAAATTAATATACAAAATGTAAAAAAAAAAAAAACAAGAAAAAAAAAATATGCTGGGGCAGTGAAATAAATGAGGCATCCAAAAATCTTTGCACTGCCCCTGTTTCAATCACAGCTATCTACTCCTCACATTGTCTTGGTTTATGAATACGTGAGCAAGCTCCTAACTCTCCACCCATTCTAATCTGATTCTAATAACCCCGCATCTAACTTGGTAGTAAGCTCTTAGCAAGATGTCCCCTTTGTATGCATTTTACATATGTTTGCATTTGATCTGTAATCAGTCCTTTTGGAATGTGTGCTATACAAATAAAAGATAATAAACTAGGTACACCCCTACAGGTAGCACCTCAGCCATTGTTTTAAAGTCAAATCCCCATGATTTGTACAAAGCCAAATATTGGCTAGGATTTTGTGACTTGTCACTAGCTGGAGTGCTACGTGCTGTAAAGTCCTGTTCAAAACAAAATGCAAAACCACTAAGTCTGAAAAAAATAAAAATCCCGTAAACTATTTGAAGAAGGAAAGGCTTAAGAGTTGACATGTATAAGACACAATTACACAATTGTGGATTTGTTAGGATTATTGCAAATTTATTTATTTATTTTTTTGCATGATCACATTTCTATTTTTGTGCACAATTTAAACATATATTAATATTTTTATTGTTAAATAATTGTAATTCTCAAAGGGTTGAACTGGTGTAGGACATCTTCTGACTGCAGAACTAAATACTTACTGAATTCAATTCATTTCAATAAACAGTGCATTCCGTTCACTAAACTGTGAATTGTAAGGGAAACATAATTTCAAAATGCAGACAAAAATAGTTGATTTGGAAAAATATCTCCAACTTGTATCTCCTACTTAGCTACTTAAATTTTGCAGTCCATTTTTCAGTTCACCAGAATGCAACGTTTTGTAAATAAAGCCTTAAGGGTTTATATATATATATATATATATATATATATATATATATTTTATATACAGGGTTTCCCAGCAGAACATTGCACAGAGCATAACTCTTCCTCCACCTACCATCTCTTCCCCCAGGTAAAACAACACACACACACACACACCCACTTGATCTAAAAGCAAATGGGATTCGTCAGACCAGGCAACCTTCTTCCATTGCTCCTTTGTCCAGTTCTGATGCTCACATCCCAATTGATGGCGCTTTCAGTGGGAGACAGGAATGATCATGTGCACTCTGACCGGTCTGTGGCTACGTATCCCCAAACACAGCAAACTGTGATGCACGGTGTGGCCAGCATTAGGTTTTTCAATAAAAAAATAGCATAAAGTGGCTGGTCTTGGGGGAAGTCTTGTAAAATGTGGTTCTGTAAACAGCTAGCTGATTATAGTTTCTGTTGTAGTTCAACAGTGAAAACTGCATTCTATCCAGAACAACATCTAGTGGTTGTTAAAACGTAGTAGGCATTCAGAAGTCAAATATCGATTTAGCGCTGCATTCATAACATTGCATCATTATGTTGATCATAATGTCACCATTATTTTACATTTAGCGGGGGGCATTTATTGATACCCAATGTAAGTGGACTACATATATTTCTTTAGGGGGTCTTTGCTTCAGAATGCTGTGGACTATAATACCCATCATTAGCAGGTTTGATGGGAGTTACAATCCACAGCATCTCAAGTTTCTACCTAATGCTTCAGATAACAATATAACACAGGCAATAATAATGCAGCCCCATTCTAGCATCACTACTATGATAGGATCGTATAGATATTTTTAAAAGTAACCCCCAAAAAACTGTTGTCATATTCAATAGCCAGAAAAGAATAAAAAATATTGACTAGATTTTTGATACTGTTTTTCCTTCTATTTATAGTCAAATATATAATTTATTTTGCTACATTTACCATATTTTGTCTCCTTTGTTTTTGTTTTATAATTAGATCAAAAAAGGTGGCCTCTTTGTCAGGCATTGTGCAGGAGGCTGGCCTATCCAAGGCAGATGTTGGGTTTGAGTTGGCAGAGCTAGAGGAAGCAGCTCGTCTCGTGCAAGAAGAAGAGGATCTTCAGACCGCATCAGACACTGATCCCAGGCAACCAGCAGCCCTCCTCCTTTCAGAAACATCCAGCAGTGATTCCTCCTCTGAGACAGAAGACGACTCATCGAACAGCATAGAGTCGGAATCAGAGGATTCATCTGCATCTCTCCAGAGAGATACGGACAACCTTTACCTGGAGGACATTGAGCCGAGCCAAAATCCGCAGTCTACAGCTGAAAATCCACACTTTTCAGGGAGCCCGACACCAGTTCCCTCCAAAGTGGTTGAAGTTATAGATGAAGATTTTCAAGAAATTACCCACTCTCTGCATTCATCAGTGCATAGCCAAGAGGTTCCAGCAACAAACTGTGCTACCCCACTTCCAGAGAATATTACAGTGAATCCTCCAGCCATAGAATACTTGGAAGTAACTCCAGGACCAAATCCACTTCTCATCATTAGTCAGTCTGATCAAGAGGGTAACGTAGCACTAGGGAAACCTGAGCCCTGCCCTACTCAAACGTTGGACTAAAGACATTGCTGTATGGACCAAATCTGAACGTGTTTTCTTTTATTCTGTACAATTGACTAGAGTGAGTAATGTGTTGATAAAATAACAAAACTAAATCTTTTTTCTCACAGGCCAGACCATTTTTATTTTTTTTATTTTTTTAAATAAATCTCTTTGCATTGCATATGCTTGAATAAAGCACACAGACACTTACCCTATTTTGTTCTGATCACCAAAAATTCAGATTCTACACTTAAACAAATATTCATTGTAGAGAGAAGCTATTTTTCAATAAGTGCCTGAAGCAAAAATACTTGAGTTACCTTCACACACAATTCTTCAGAAGTTTTAAAAGTACACATCTTAAGGACCAAAACCACTACATCTTAACGTAGCAGTTTTGGTGGATTGATGCTGCCCCTGTTTTTCAGACAAATGTAGCATTCATAGGATTGGGACAAAGATGATCAAACATGATGATCTCACTGTCACTGGACTGGGCTAACACTAATATTAGAAATAATTATGTTTAATGTTAGTGTTCCTTTAAGGCTGGCAATGCATCATGGAAGTTATAATTTCATAATAGCTGGGGTCTCCCATGTGGTTACCGCTGCACTCGAGTAGTAATATGTGTATTTTTCAAGATAATATATCCTCCTCTAAAGATACATCTTTAGTTAAGTATACATTTCATGATAAAAATATTTTTGATACATATTAGCCAAATAGAAAATAATCATTTAGCATTGTGTGTTGGAAGGTTCATTAACAAAACAACTTTGTACAAGATGTCGCATTTGAAAAAGAGAAAAAAAAACAATTAAGTCTTGTCGGCTGTCAACTCATGGCAAGTTAGAGTGATGTTAATAGAAAATTGAATGTTGCGCACTGTATTGAAGATTGTGGGCAACCTGTAAGAACCCCCTGTAGCGGACCACGGGTAAGCCAACTGATTACCTCCGCTATTACCTTCCTTCAGCCACTCTGGAACCATCAGCACAAGTAAATACCCATTCCCCCCATAACCAGACGAAACATAGTCCTGGGAGTCAACTGAACTTCTGTTTAACCCCTTAAGGACCAAACTTCTGGAATAAAAGGGAATCATCACATGTCATGTGTCCTTAAGGGGTTAATGGGACATGGTACAGCCAAGTTATACACAGACCCCCAGCAGGGGGTCTTCATACAATTACATACAAACTCCTCCCCTGTGCCTGGGAGATAAGTGAGTCAAGAACTGTACAAACTCCAATATCTCCCAGGTACAAAAAAAAAACCATACAATTTTAAAACACCCCACAAACACATTTTAATATTTCAGAACCTCACGAAAGTAAAATCACCGAATAGCTGGGATCTGGAGGAGGTGTCACGGCAAGGGTACGTAATTCATTGTTGCACTATAGAATATTGCCATTTAATGTAATTTGTGTAGTGCATATATGACTGGCTGCCTGGTAGAGGTGATATTGTCATTTTCAAAACAGGTTAATTGATTGTATGGGAGGGCAGACGGTTTATAATCTAAATTCCTCTTTGAAGTTGGAACTCCCATTAACAGAGCAATTCTGTAAAGTGTGAGACGTTACACATATGTGACCTGGAAGTCTGGCTTCAGTATAAACTAACCCTCTCATTTGCCATATGTAGATAAGGAGTCCTTTGATATGAACAAGCCTTGTGTTCCGATATCAGACCCAAAAGAGAAATTAATACATACCCACAGATTAATACTCAAGCCTCATTTTTATCATATTGAGAATGGGACAAGCACAATCTTCTAATCCAGCCTAAACATGATGTGTGGAACAAGGGGACCATACAGACAGGGAGATCCCCAGCATGATGACCTGAATACAACAAGCAGGAAAGCGAGTGGGCACATGTGGGCATGGTACTCCGTGACGGCGTTCCGTCACACCTCCCAACTAACAATCTATTTATTATTTTTTTTTATACATTTCTTTATTAGAGGAATGTTGATTGAGGCAGTGTTACATTAGTTTTTCATAGTACAACAGGATCATGTGATATGCATAACATTCAATATCCAAAAACAATATTCAAACAAGTCAAGTTTTTTTTTTTTTTTTTGCTATTTTTTACAACATATTCTAACCTGTTTGTCACTAATACTTTAACCTAGTATTTTAAAATGGGCTTTCTATGTTAGCTATTCTATAATTGTGTGTATGTATGCAATCTATTGATTTGCTATCCATCAATCTCAAAGCTATGTATTGTTTTGTTGATTGCTTTTACATCCATTAATCTCTGTGATTTATCCAGCTATCTTAATATCGGTTTCTAATCATTCCTTTTTGTCATTCTGTGCATCTAACATATCTTCCCATGGGTGTAAAATTGAAATATTTTCTTTTCTCTGTGAATATTTAAAGGGATACTATAGATATCATTACAACTTTGGCTTATTGAAGCAGTTTCAGGGTGTAGATTATGCCCCTGCAGTCTCACTACCCTGTCAATCCCTGCAACCATGGGCTGGCATAACTTCAGGGCTGGTGCATTATCGCACCGGCTCAGGGCAAGCAACAGTCGGTTGACCGGCAGGAGAGGAGCACAAGGCACAGTGCTCTCCTTCTGCCAGACACTGTATGCATTCTGCTCGGCCATGGAGGTGAACAGGTACATGAGGAAAAGGGGATGGGGAAGAGACACATAAAGGGGCTGGGCGGGTACGAGAAAGACACATGAAAGGGCTGGGGGATGGGAAAGAGACACATTGGGGAGATGGGGGAGGGACCTGGGGGATGGGAGAGACACATAGAGGGACTGGGGGTGAATGAGACACATGGAGGGCTGGAGGGAGATGAGACACATGGAGGGGCTGAGGAGGGGATGAGACACATGGAAGGTCTCTGGTGTGGGATGAGAAACATGGATGGACTGGGGGGGGGTTGAGACACATAGAGGAGATGGGGGAATAAGACATGGAGGAGGTGGGGTGGAATGAGAAACATGGAAGGGGCTAAGGGGAAAGGATAAGACATGGAGGTTCAGGGGGTAAAATTAGACATTTAGAGCACCAAAATGGTCTGGTCGGGGATAAGAAAAATGAATGGACGGGGAATAAGATACATGGAAGGGCTGGGGCGGAATGTGAGAGGTGGAGGGGAATGAGACACATGGAAGGGACTAAGGGGAAAGGATAAGACATGGAGGTTCTGGGGGAAGATTTAGACACAATGAGGGGTTGGAGGAGAGTGAGACACCTGGGGGGGCCCGGTGCAATTTTCATACTGGGACTCAGTGGTTTATAGTTACGCCTGGTACCCAACATATTAAAAACTATATCCCTGAATATTACGTTTTTGCAAGCAATCATCCAGTTGCTGTTTGAATATCTATACAGACACTGACAAACCTTCCACCTCTTTAGGCAAAGAGTTCCGCGTTATTATCGTTATTACTGTAAAGAATTTGTTAATTCATAGTTACATAGCCGAAAAGAGACTTGCATCCATCAAGTTCAGTGTTCAGTGCCTGCTGTCTCACCATTGCCACTTCCATTCACACTTCGGTCTGTGAGCTAGCACAATGTATGGATGTAATTTTATCCTCTTTCGTTTCAGTTATGTGTTCTATCACAAGCATTCTTTAACCCCTTAAGGACCGAGGACGGTTCAGGACCGTCATCGGCATTTTTGCCTTGCCGACCGATGACGGTCCTGAACCGTCCTAACGGTCTGGGGGTACTTACCTGATCGCCGTCGTTCCCCCGGCGGCGATCAGTGTTCCTCCGGTTGTGGGGAGACTGCCTGCAGCCTAGACAGTCTCCCCATGGCAGATTAGGACCCCTGTGGCCATGTGATCGCTTAACATAGCGATCACATGGTCACAATAGGTGTCCATAGTGCTGCCTGCAGGGGGACTGTCTGTGCTGACAGGCAGTCTCCCTGCTTGTGTAAAATCAGAAAAAATAAATAAAGTTAGTGTTAATTAAAAAAAATAAAATAATTATATATGTGTATATATGATATATAGACATATATTATATCTATATAATATATGTCTATATATCATATATATATAATGTCATACTAAGTGTATTTTTATATTAATATGTACTTATATTAATATAAAAATACACTTATAATTAAATTACACACGTATATATATAATATATATAATAACTATATATATTGTATATATATATTATTATAAAATATAAATAATAAGTAATTTAAATTAAATAAAAATTTTTTAAATAATAATAAAAAATTAAAAAAAAATTATATAGCTATATGAAATTTTATTCTAACTGTATTTTAAAATTAATATATATATATTTATATCAAAATACACTTAGAATGAATTTGTATATATATCTATGTATATAAAAATAAATAAAAATAATAAGAAATATACATACGTCCATATACAAAATTACATAAATAATTATATAAATATACACGTAGACTTCAAATATATAAATATGCATATATATTTAAATTCTACGTGCGTATTTATGTAATATTTTTACATAATTCAGTAATTTTATTGATTGCAATTTGAGGGACCTGCCTGCCAACCCAGGCCGAAATTCCAGAGAATTTAATTTGCTAGCACTGTATTTTACCCTGTAACGTTCTACGACACCCTAAAACCTGTACATGGGGGGTACTGTTTTACTCGGGAGACTTCGCTAAACACAAATATTAGTGATTCACAACAGTAAAACATATCACAGCGATGATATTGTCAGTGAAAGTTACTTTTTTTGCATTTTTTACACACAAACAGCACTTTTACTGCTTATATAATTGTTGTGATACATTTTCCAGTTTTTAAACACTAATATTTGTGTTCAGCGATGTCTCCGAGTAAAACAGTACCCCCCATGTACAGGTTTTATAGCATTTTTGAAAGTTACAAGGTCAAATATATGGGTCAAATATTTTTACATTGAAAATGGCCAGGTTGGTTACGTTGCCTTTGAGAGCGTATGGTAGCCCAGGAATGAGAATTACCCCCATGATGGCATACCATTTGCAAAAGAAGACAACCCAAGGTATTGCAAATGGGGTATGTCCAGTCTTTTTAGTAACCACTTGGTCACAAACACTGGCCAAAATTAGCGTTCAATTTAGTTTTTTTACTTTTTTCACACACAAACAAATATGAATGCTTACTTTGGCCAGTGTTTTCGACTAAGTGGCTACTAAAAAAGACTGGACATACCCCATATTGAATACCCTGGGTTGTCTACTTTAAAAAAAATATGTACATGTGGGGTGTTATTCAGAGATTTATGACAGATAATAGTGTTACAATGTCACTATTGATAAATTTTAAAAAATGTATGTTTTGAAACCGCAATATCCTACTTGTACCTATAGCCCTATAACATGCAAAAAAAGCAAAAAAGCACGTAAACACTAGGTATTTTTAAACTCAGGACAAAATTTTGAATCTATTTAGCAGTTTTTTTCATTCGCTTTTGTAGATGAGTAAAAGATTTTTCAAGTAAAAGTAAAAAAACATGTATTTTTTTCAATTTTTCATCAGATTTTTGTATTTTTTTTAAATTAAAATACATGAGATTATATAAATAATGGTATGTAAAGAAAGCCCCTTTTGTCCTGAAAAAAACAATATATAATTTGTATGGGAACAGTAAATGAGAAAGCGGAAAATTACAGCCAAACACAAACACCACAAAAGTGTAAAAATATTCCTGGTCGCAAATGTACAACATCGCAAAAACAGTCCAGTCCTTAAGGGGTTAAAGGAGGACCTAACTCTCACAGCCACGCCAGGCATGGCCTTATAAACAGGCGCTCACATTAAAAGTTGAACTTTTTTTTAATTAGCTAAATCACACTTACAAATCCAACCACCATGATATTCATAAGGTATTTCAGTTATTTTGTCAACCACCATTACATACTTAATTAAACCTGCGTACACAAACCTGATTAGCACCTAGTCATATAATTAGTTCTAGACACACCTGCTGTGCCACAATTGGCTCTCCTCCCTGCTTTTCCTCACGTCTTGTCATGCTGTGCCTTTACATGCAGAGTCTCCAAGATATGATGTCCCATATTGAAACCTAGAGAGGGTTATTATTATTATTATTATTGGTTATTATTTATATAGCACCAGCTTATTCCGCAGCGCTTTACAATAAGAGGGGAATTTACCAAATGAGACAATAACAAAATGTAACAGGAACAATAGGTAGTTGATGACCCTGCTCAAACGAGCTTACAATCTAGAGGAAGTGGGGTATAAAAACACAGTAGGAAGGGATATTCACTAACTTCCAAATTGCAGTAAATGCAAATTACAATTGCAGAATGTATGCATAAATAGCCAAACTGTGTATATAATTGTGTTGGAGAATGTATTCAGATTGTCTGTTTTTGCCAATATTTGACAATTCAGATTTCAATTTGCTACAATTTTGAGTTAGTAAATAACCATTACAGTCTATAACACAGCACACGAAAGAGGGAGGAGGAGAGCGGTCTGTGTACCTTTTACACAAAACCCACCTGCTAGACAACACAATACGAAAAAAGGTTGCCTGCAGCTGCTGATACAGTCTCTTTGGACCAGCCAGCTCTGATCTGAATACAGTAATCATGACCTCTAATACTATCTGCCTTCAGCATTGTTTTGTGGATCAATAATATTGGTAAAAACTGCTTTTCTTTGATACCTGTTGGGGGCGAAAAAAAATGCATGTATTGTGTGTGCTGTTTTGTTAAAAGCCGGATTAAGAGGCGACCTCTCTTCCCCCAGTGTGCCTTCTATGTTCCTGTTCCTTCTATTCCCTGCTAACTGTCAAGAAAGATAGGAATTGAACAGGCTGGACTTGTAGAGCTCTGTGACAAATACACCAAAGAAATTGATTAATTCTTCAGTAGTAACTACTGAGCATTTCTGTCCCAAGCAGACACATCTGAAATAATGTCACAAGATTGAGCTGATGTCTCAAGGCTGAATAAAACAAACAAGGAAATACTTGTCAAAGAGATAAATGGGTTGGGTGTTTGGTTTGCTCCTCCAAAGCCATTTGTCTGAGAGATATGAAACAGAACTGCTGGTAGAGATAAGCAAGAGGAGGTAGGATAGATGTGAAATTCTCATTTGGTGAATGGCGGAAGAGAAAGCATTTTATTATGTGAATTGTAGCCTGTCCCTACATTCAAATTGGGATCTTGGGTAAGAGTGTATTTTTGTGGAGCCCAATTATTTGCGTGTATTATTCGTTCTAGCTAGTACCATCAGCTGTGAACTGTTACACTCTGCTACAGATCACTGTAGAGATCACTAGTGAAAAAAAAATACAGTTATGTAAAAATGGTATTTAACAGTTTGTGTATCTCATCAACTACACTCAAACAGTAACAACTACTCAAATAGTAGATCCTTAGATGTTGTAGAACTCCCATGATGCTTTGGAATGACAAAGCATCATAGAAGCTCCAGTTTTCAAACATCCTTGGATCTACCTTTTGGGCACCCCTGCACTACACTAATTGGAATAAAACTCTGAGCGTATAACAAAACTCCCCAAAAGAGATGATTTACACTCGCAACGACAGTGTGTATTTTGTAGATTCGCCAAGTCACATATGGCATGAATTTTACACCTGATCTAGGTAGATTACTGCAAGTTCACTAAATCAATTGTGTACGAGGTGTCAGGCCTTTTGTGAAAGTGACAAATCTGTTAAGTCTTGTTGTCTACGCCGGTCACCTAGAAGTAATTGAGTAACGCGGGATTTAAAAACCAAATAGCAAATGTAGGTAACAATAGTCAAAGTGTGAGTATAGCTACATTATTGTTCTCCTTAAGATCAGAGATGTTGCTCTCAGTCTGCTAGTTTGCTTTCTAATCTTTCCAAACCTGGCATGAATGAACGAAATAAACACTTACATTACATTTTACTGTAACACATATCTCTGATGTCAAATCATATCCAATATGATTACAAAGAAAGTGGGCAGTGTTAGAAAGAGATCATATATGTTACAGTCATTACATAGAAATATTTTCTCTCATTAGATTTTCCTTGAGATAAAGTTGTTACTTGCAAAAGCCTTGCAAAAAATGTTTGCGTAAGATATTGAGGATCCTAGTTATTATTATTGTTTTATTATTTATATAGTGCCAGCAAACTCCGTAGCGCTGTACAATAGTTACCACATAAAAACACTTGTTGCTACATGAGAAATATTTTCAGGGCTTTAGCAAGCACAGTGAAATGTTATTGTGAGGATCAAGGACAACAAGAGAAAATTCATTTGCAGTCAAATTCACATGTTCTGCATGGAACAATCATCCGATGTTAAAGGGATTCTATACTGATAGGAATACAGATCTGTATCCCTAACACTAGTGCCCTCTGACCCCCCTTCCCTCGTGCCCCAAGAACATAAAGGGTTAATAAACCCTTTAGTCATTTAACCGATTCCAGCGCTGATGTCCCTCGGCGCTGGGTTAAAGCTCTGCTTCTTCGTGCTTCCAGTGCGTGGCGAGTACAAGCGCATTGGGCCCTCCCCACAGGAAAGCATTGCCTTAATGTCCTCATGCAGACCGTCAGGGCGTCAAGCGCCATTTAAGGGACTCAGAGTCCCTTAGAATCTCAGAAGTGCCTCTAGTGGCGGTCTGATAGCCAGTGGAGGCAGTCTAAGTCCTTAAAGGTAATTGTTGCAAGTTGACATATCACATTAAAGTACATGAAAGATTCTATGATGCCGTGACAACGCATGACAGCGGATTGGTGGCTTCCCTTTGATGAGGCAGACTCGCAACCATTAGCACAGGCGTATCTTATTCCGCTAGGAGTTTGGAGGCCTTGCGCTGGGAAATCAATTATGCCGGAACTGTCAAGTTATGCTAGTTTTTTTTCATTGCAAATCAGATAAAGTAAAATCGCAGAGATCTTTTAGATGAAATATGTGTCTTTTATTTATTTATTTATGTATTTATTTTAAACTTGCACTACATTGTTCAGTCTAGTAAATTGATATGTACATTACTTCTGTCAATAAAATGTATAATAAAGAGGATGTGTTTTGAGATGGTTTCAGCTCTAGAATATTAAGTACTTTAGGATTATTCACTTAAGTGTGAATTGTGGAAGGGCCCAAGAGAAAGATTTTGGATTTTTTTATTTTGCTTTTGATGTCTTTTTGGATTTAGATAGACTGGGGGACTGGGCACTCAAATGGCAGATGAAATTTAATGTTGAAAAATGCAAAGTTATGCACTTCGGCGTAAAGAATACACATTAGAAGCATATCAATCGGACAAATCAGTAGACATGTGCAATTCGTTTCGATCCGAATATGAATTTGGACGAATTTCGGGCAATTCAGACATTTGGGTGCTTGTGACTGTCCGAATTGCCAAAGTTCCGAAATTACCGAATTTCCGAAGTGTCAAAGTGCTGAAGTTCCAAAGCACAGTATTGCCTAAGTGCTAATATACTTACCCAGTGAAAGAAGAAGAATGTTACATTGTATACAATTTTAAATAAAAAGTATACAAACATAGCCAGGATTCAGCTGTAAGCATCTGAAACACTCACAACAATCAAGTAACATACATTTATATAAAATGTAAGTTACTCAGCCTGTCAATGTAATGACAGGAATGAATAAGTAGATAAGTCCCTAATTCCCACGGTATTAGGGAGCTATCAACTAAAAGGCTGAAACACCTGAATTGGTCTTTCAGACAAATTTACTAATACTAAGTAAAGATTACTTAGTATTAGTAAATTATGCCCCTACTCGCTATACCGCAAGTAGGGGCATGTCTATTAAACAGTGAGCAGCCTGTGGCTGCTCACTGTTTAAAAAAAAAAAAAAAGGACCTATTGCCCCCCCTGGCCCCCACCCCTGAGCGGTGGGTAGGGGCCCTAAATTATAATAAGGGGGGGACCTAACGTCCTCCCCCCTGGCCCCCACCCCTGAGCGGTGGGTGGGGGCCCTAAATACTAATAAGGGGGGGACCTAATGTCCTCCCCCCTGACCCCCACCCCTGAGCGGTGGGTGGGGGCCCTACTGTAAAATAAGGGGGGGGACCTAATGTCCTCCTCCCTGGCCCCCACCCCTGAGTGGCAGGTGGGGACCCTAAATTGGAATAAGGGGGGACCTAATGTCCTCCCCCCTGGCCCCCACCCCTGAGCGGCCCCCCCCCTATTGGTATTAGGACCCTGAGCGGCGGGGCCCCTAAATACTAATAAGGGGGAGACCTAATGTCCTTCCCCCTGGCCCCCACCCGCCGCTCAGGGTCCTAATACCAATAGGGGGGGGACGACCTATTGTCCTCCATACAATGTGAGCAAGATATTACTTTGCTGCAGAGGGATTTAGATAGACTGGGGGACTGGGCACTCAAATGGCAGATGAAATTTAATGTTGAAAATTGCAAAGTTATGCACTTCGGCGTAAAGAATACACAAGCAACGTATACCCTTAATGGAAGCGAATTAGGGATAACAACACACGAAAAGGACTTGGAAATTGTTATAGACAACAAACTATGCAACAATGTGCAATGTCAATCAGCAGTGGCTAAGGCCAGTAGAGTATTGTTATGCATGAAAAAGGGCATTCATTCTCGGGATGAGAATATAATTTTCCTCTTTATAAATCACTGGTAAGACCTCATATTGAATATGCTGTGCAATTTTGTGCACCTGTTCTAAAGAAGGAAATTATGGCACTAGAAAAAGTGCACAGGCGGGCTACAAAATTAATAAAAGGAATGGAACATATCAGCAATGAAGAAAGGTTAACAAATGTAAACCTAGTTTAGAAAAACATCGCCTGAGAGGGGATATGATAACATTACAGGGAGTGCAGAATTATTAGGCAAATGAGTATTTTGACCACATCATCCTCTTTATGCATGTTGTCTTACTCCAAGCTGTATAGGCTCGAAAAGCCTACTACCAATTAAGCATATTAGGTGATGTGCATCTCTGTAATGAGAAGGGGTGTGGTCTAATGACATCAACACCCTATATCAGGTGTGCATAATTATTAGGCAACTTCCTTTCCTTTGGCAAAATGGGTCAAAAGAAGGACTTGACAGGCTCAGAAAAGTCAAAAATAGTGAGATATCTTGCAGAGGGATGCAGCACTCTTAAAATTGCAAAGCTTCTGAAGCGTGATCATCGAACAATCAAGCGTTTCATTCAAAATAGTCAACAGGGTCGCAAGAAGCGTGTGGAAAAACCAAGGCGCAAAATAACTGCCCATGAACTGAGAAAAGTCAAGCGTGCAGCTGCCACGATGCCACTTGCCACCAGTTTGGCCATATTTCAGAGCTGCAACATCACTGGAGTGCCCAAAAGCACAAGGTGTGCAATACTCAGAGACATGGCTAAGGTAAGAAAGGCTGAAAGACGACCACCACTGAACAAGACACACAAGCTGAAACGCCAAGACTGGGCCAAGAAATATCTCAAGACTGATTTTTCTAAGGTTTTATGGACTGATGAAATGAGAGTGAGTCTTGATGGGCCAGATGGATGGGCCCGTGGCTGGATTGGTAAAGGGCAGAGAGCTCCAGTCCCACTCAGACGCCAGCAAGGTGGAGGTGGAGTACTGGTTTGGGCTGGTATCATCAAAGATGAGCTTGTGGGGCCTTTTCGGGTTGAGGATGGAGTCAAGCTCAACTCCCAGTCCTACTGCCAGTTCCTGGAAGACACCTTCTTCAAGCAGTGGTACAGGAAGAAGTCTGCATCCTTCAAGAAAAACATGATTTTCATGCAGGACAATGCTCCATCACACGCGTCCAAGTACTCCACAGCGTGGCTGGCAAGAAAGGGTATAAAAGAAGAAAATCTAATGACATGGCCTCCTTGTTCACCTGATCTGAACCCCATTGAGAACCTGTGGTCCATCATCAAATGTGAGATTTACAAGGAGGGAAAACAGTACACCTCTCTGAACAGTGTCTGGGAGGTTGTGGTTGCTGCTGCACGCAATGTTGATGGTGAACAGATCAAAACACTGACAGAATCCATGGATGGCAGGCTTTTGAGTGTCCTTGCAAAGAAAGGTGGCTATATTGGTCACTGATTGTTTTTGTTTTGTTTTTGAATGTCAGAAATGTATATTTGTGAATGTTGAGATGTTATATTGGTTTCACTGGTAATAATAAATAATTGAAATGGGTATATATTTGTTTTTTGTTAAGTTGCCTAATAATTATGCACAGTAATAGTCACCTGCACACACACAGATATCCCCCTAACATAGCTAAAACTAAAAACAAACTAAAAACTACTTCCAAAAATATTCAGCTTTGATATTAATGAGTTTTTTGGGTTCATTGCGAACATGGTTGTTGTTCAATAATAAAATTAATCCTCAAAAATACAACTTGCCTAATAATTCTGCACTCCCTGTATTAGTTTCCTATTAATAAATAAATAAATTTGAGAGCTTTTATCATATAAACTTACCTTCATTCCAGTGCTGAGCTCCTCGGCAGGCCACGCCCCCTTTTAAAGCGGCACTGTCATGCCGAACTTACCTTTCCTCAATCTCTTCCTCTTCTCCCCCTCTCTCAGGATCTGTTCTTCATTTCTTCCTGTCTTCTTTAGTTTTCTTTAAAATCATAAGACAAAGTAGGGACTCTTTGCCTTATGGAGGATTCCTCCGCTTGACCAGCTCTGACCAGCAGAGGAGCAAAGTGTGCTTCATTTCCGCTGGTCAGAGCAATTTTCCCATGATCCCTAGCTTTCCTCACTGTTCCCACAATGCTTCCTGTCATTTTACATGAAACTGCCGAATTGCGTTCTAACTGAATGACAACAGTATGTTCGTTTCTTTTAGAACGCAATTCGGAATTTTATTCGGATCGGAATTTCATTCTAATGAATGAAACTCTGATCCTATTCATTGCTGTGGCTGCATTTTGCAGCCGCTTAGTAGATAACTCCCTAATTCCCGCGGTATCAGGGAGCTATCTACTAAAAGGCTGAAAGACCTAAATTGGTCTAACAGCCAACTTTACTAATACTAAGTAAAGATTACTTAGTATTAGTAAATAATATGCCCCTACTTGCTATATCGCGAGTAGGGGCATGTGTAGTAAGCAGTGAGCAGCTTATAGCTGCTCACTGTAAAAAAAATATAAATAAAAAAAACTAATAAACCCCCCCCCCCTCCCCCATGCCCGTGGGGGCCCTAAATAAAGATGGGGGGAACCTACTGGCCCCCACCCCTGCGCGGTGGGTGGGTGGGGGCCCTAATAAAACAATAAGGGGGGGGACCTACTGTCCTCCCCCCCGGCCCCCACCCCTGCGCGGTGGGTGGGGGCCCTAGTAAAACAATAAGGGGAGGGGGACCTACTGTCCTCCCCCCCCGGCCCCCACCCCCGAGCGGTGGGTGGGGGCCCTAATAAAACAATATGGGGACTAGTCCTCCCACAATGTACCCTGGTGATTTGGGTGGGGGCCCTAATAAAACAATAAGGGGGGGGACCTACTGTCCTCCCCCCCCCTTTGCCCCCACCCCTGAGCGGTGGGTGGGGGCCCTAAATGAAACACCCCCCCCAATCAAGGTGACTAGGGGTCCCAAGCCCCTAGTCACCCCCCCACCCAAAAAAAAAAACTATCCCCTACCTACCCCCCTCACCCTAAAATAGTGAGGGGAGAATAAAATAACTAACCTGTAAAAGAAAATTAAACTTACCATTTGACGTCTTCTTTTTTTTTAAATCTTCTTTCTTCAGCCCCCCAAAAGGCCAAATAAAAATCCATCATACCGTCGCACTTTAAAAAAATAAAAAAAAAAGAGCGCAAAAAAAAATTAATCCATGTTCGCCCTTCGAGGGCACGCCGCATACTGAGCTCTGCA